TGAGACGTTTAGAAAGTGTCCGAGAACGAGGTAGAACAGAGTCCAGGTTTTCGAGGATAAGCAACGTTTTACTTGTCTAAGAACAAGCGCACATGAGCTGAAATGTACATATAAAAGTTCAGTACGAGTATATATGGTAAGTATAAGAATAAGCACACAAAAATCATGACACGTACACCAATGAGAAGAGAAGTAATACGAACTGGGTTGGAAACATTTTAGCACCTAAGCAAAGGCTTGTCTGTGGGAAGCACCGATCATTTCTCATCCACTCCCTGACGTACACCAATCAAATGAGAAGTAATACGAACTGGGTTGGAAACATTTTAGCACCTAAGCAAAGGCTTGTCTGTGGGAAGCACCGATCATTTCTCATGTGATCCACTCCCTGGAGAAGCCTTCGCCCAGTACCTATCCGGTAACTCCACAGACTGACTCCTCAACTATCAAATATTTGGCAACGAACCTGTCAGACTAATCCAGCCCCGCTCGAGTTTGAATAGACTCGATCCGTTTTCCTACAACAGAATTGTGTAACTTGCCCCTATATACCACCTCTCGCCAGATCAACCTCTTTAAGGTATCTTTCGGTTCTTTGGAGCATCTAGAAATATCTAACTATCAGAATGTATGCTTGTCGATCTTGGGCCCACCGGGTACAGGGACGCTTGTTATGACGTCAGTTTGTGAAACCTTGTGGCTTTATTGTGGTACACCGATTAGCATTTGTGTGTAGTCCAACTCTGGTGAAAGATCTTCGAATGGTATGATACTTTACTTCTCATTTCAGATTTTTATCATTTTTGCACATCCGTAATCGACCAGTCCAGATCAAGAAATCACGGCAGTAGATCCACTTCAGGACGGGCGGGTGGTGGAAATCTTGACCATGTCTGATTGGCACTCACTTCTCCCTCCTGCCAATACCCGATATGGCCTATTGTGCATGTCCCTCTCGATTGCCTTCTTCAAAAGCCTTGACCAAGCTCTCCAGGGCTACTCTCCTCCGCCGGAAGTCGCCCGTAAAGGTCCAGATAGTGTGTGGAAATGGCGTAATATGATGGTTTCTTGGGTCCACGCGCTCCTCGTTGGTACATGGGATATTTTATGGTAACCCTGTGAAATCACGTGACCATCTGTTGCAGCTTTTACTACTATCCTTCTTTGATGAACGATTTGGTGGAGCACGTAGTTCCATTCACCTATTACATGGTAGCAATTTCCACTGGTAAGCTGGTGTTCGTCTCCCACTGATACGAATCTCACAGGTTATTTCCTGTTCGATTTTTGGGATATGTATAAACAACGGAAGGTTTTCAAGCTCTTGGAGTTATCGTTACATCATTTTGCGGTAAGTCGTTTTCCCGTTTCAGTTCATAAATACTGTCAGGGGGTTTGCTCGAGATGATAGCCCAGTGGTTAAGGCGCGAACCCACTAACTGGAAGATATGTCGTTCAAAATTAACCCCTGTCTGGGCTTGGGCAGCGTGGAAGTATCTCAGCCCTCGTACTTCCTTTGAGGGTTCTGCAGCTGAATGATTTCATTTACTATGTAATCAAAACACCGTTCTGCCTATTCTGTTCGATAGACGAGAACTGTACTCCGACTGGGTCCGACTCGTTTGCGTTGTTTGCCTTCCGGAATGCGAAATCTGTGCACGGCACCAATTAATTTTGAGCCATTTATCATCTACTACCTTTTTGTTGACCCGACTCGCTTGGCTTTCTGAATTCATGACAGATAATGAGTAAAGATCGATGTTCCTGTAATGAGAGCTAAAAATATGATTGGAGCACCTTGTTCCGATCTTCTGGAGGGAAGCAACTGTTTCTTGCCTTACTAACGCCTACTTTGTGCGAATATAGGATACTTGTGGGGATTCCCATCCAAGTTCGATTCCGCTGGTCGATTGCTGTTGGGCTAGGCCCCACACATTCGAATACAAACTCTCAGACTGTTCATTTGTGTTTCAAGAATCGGTCAGCTCCGGCTGACTCAGGTAGAATTCCGGCATCTAGCTATCCGTTGGTGGTTGGAATTTGGGTGTCCAGTCCTTTTCAACGATTCGCTGATCCCGGCTAACTGCGATCGTCTTTCTTGTGGCTGAAATTATGCGTTCAAACGCCCTCGACATATTTTCTCTACCCTACGAGATTACCTGGAAAACTTCTAGTGTTCGGATTCTGTGGTATTTTACTCAAACTCTCGCACTGTTGTGAGCTGCCCGTGGTTGCGTGTTTATCCACGCGCACTCTCTGTGCAATGTTTCACAGACCGTTGGGTATGGACAACATATTGCTACAAACTCTGGCATACCGATGCTAACCACGTAAAGAAGGTTATTGGCGTAACTTGTCCAAGTAACGGTGAAATGAAATATTGTGAAATCGCATCGACGGACAACCTGCGCTTAAAAACTGTTTTACGAGCATTGTTTCCCCATTGTATTCCCTTCCAATGCTTTTGGATTATTTTCACCGGGTAAAGAGAGTCCCGGATCCCGGTTAGCCTAAAGTTACGACCTGTTTGTCACATTCCTATTGTGGCAACTGGTCAGCAAATTACCAATGGGAGTGCGCCCGAGAGCTCTTAATTCTAGCTTGTTTTTTTCGCAAGACACGTGAATTTATTCCCTTCCAATGCTTTTGGATTATTTTCACCGGGTAAAGAGAGTCCCGGATCCCGGTTAGCCTAAAGTTACGACCTGTTTGTCACATTCCTATTGTGGCAACTGGTCAGCAAATTACCAATGGGAGTGCGCCCGAGAGCTCTTAATTCTAGCTTGTTTTTTTCGCAAGATCACGTGAATTGACCGCAGGCTTTGAGGTGCTGCACATCTGGGACAGTGGTCACTTCTTTTCGCCAACCGTGCCAGTAACCTTAAACTACACCAACCTTGTTTGCGGAACAGAAGAATCCAGTGGTTGTCACGTTGACAAATTGAGCCCACTACACCTTTTACATTGGTTAAGTCATGTGCTTCGCTTGTTCTCACCCTTTGTAAAGTAGCATCTCTCTCCTCTGAACTTTCGTCCTCCCAAATGACGAGGGGTTCAGGATCACACCGATCATCAGCAAAGTAGTTCTTGTCGGAACCGAGATTTATCCCTTTTAACCTTGGCGTTCTTTTTTGGAGCGGGAAGCTAACTGTGAGATTGTTCAGGGCCTCGTGTGTTTTTTTAACAGTGAACATTATTTTGGGAGAGCAGTCTTCGCAACACATGTATGTGGTGTTATACTGGCGACTGTTGAAGTTGCAATCGTGAATTTTACTCTGAAAACTCCAACTCACGGAACATCCGTTTCACCATTAAATCGTTCAGCTGCAGCGCCCTTTCGGTGCCTAGCTGCCATGCCACACGAAGGAGGCCCGAGGGCTGGGATACTGCCAGGTCGCCCAGTCCTAGACAAGGGAAGTCGAGAGGCAGATGGTTTCACCATTGCGGTAATCCACATCTCATACGTCCTGAAACCCGGCTGTTTAGAGCCGGTTGCGATGTGTGGTTGGTAAGCGAGATGACTCAATTTTTAGAGCGCGAATTTACTGACCGCAAGGTTCTTGGTTCGAACCCGGCCTATGCATCTTGACTTCTGTTTAGGCTTGAATAACCTGGCAATATCGGGTGGCATGGCAACTAGCCACCGAAAGGGCGTCGCGGCTGAATGATTTTTTCCCAGCAGTTAATTTCTACCGGGGCCTATCCGATGAACCCCAAGGGGGACAAACTCGGTCGTGGGCTGTCCCGGGATTTTCAGCAACTTGATGAGTAGTATATTATGTCTGTACAAAGTATTGCGATATATTGAATATCGTACCAACTGAAACCTGATGCGGCTTTTGTGCGGCACCTTCAGATCGAGAATATCACAAGCAAGATTCAGCTGATATTCAGTTGAGTTTCCGTTAAAACTAACTTGGTGTGCGAATTTCGTACAACTTGGGTTCAAATAGAACATAAGGTTGACAGTAACTTGAGGATTGCACCTAACTGATGGTCTCCAAGGTGGACGAAAGCGGTCGAAGAGCTTTCAGTTAGTGGAAAACATTGGAGATGATTGGCGTGATTTGTCCGATTCACGACTTTGGAACTTCCATATCCCCGTCCATTCCATTCCAAACAACAATACCTCGATACAAAGCACACGGACAGATGCAGTCCACTTTCTCACGTCACAGGACCATTCATCGGTGCACAAGTCCTCGTGTAACCCGTCCAGAAGATGTCTTTGCTGTGCATTTTGTAAAATCTGAACACAGCCTCGTTTAATTCGGGTTGGTAAAAAAGTCATCACTAGTGAACCAACCAAAGGATGGTTCGAGACGCTCAGTGGCTAGGGCGCCAACTTACTGACCGGAAGGTCCATGGTTCGAATCCAACTTTGACACCTTCTTTGCAGGTTTGGGCAACTTGGAAGTACCTTAGTCCTCATGCTTTCTTCGGATGGCATGGCAGCATGGTGTTTTAGCTAAACAATTATTTTCTCAACCAAAGGATGAGAATGAATAGTCGGTGGGTTAGCGCTTGTCCAGAAACAGCAATTAGGGAGAATGGAACTGAAGAAAACAGCACATCCCGTCCAGCCTGTGAAAAAATAAACGTTTCGGAAATGCGATGGATCTTATCCAGTCCCGAGTTAGTTTGCTTTTCGCTGGAATTATTGCGTATAGGTCTGGCGAACAAACGTTTCTCATGTCTGGTTCTGGGTTCGAACTTCAGGCTCGTTCACTTTCGATGACGGGGAGGATGAATGTTATCGTTTTTTATCGCTATATTTGATCCCCAGAACCAACCAGCCCGTAGTAATTGAATCCTTCAACCCTTCCTAATGCAGGTTCTCAGTGCCTTCATCTACAACCTCCTCACGGTGAGGTTCATCGGTTACACCGTGGTTGCCCTGCTGGCCGAGGTGAACAGCATATTCCTACACACTCGAAAACTGATGCAAATGCACCGAGTTTCGTTCACCAACCCTATGTACCGACTTAACGCCGTGCTAAACCTGATCACATTCGCGGGCTGTCGTGGTTACTGTCTGTTCCGAATCACCTACGGGATGTACATGGAGCCACATCGCATGTCTCCGTTCTACCTGGTTCTCTTGTGTTTCAGTATGGGCATCATGAATATACTCAACCCGATCCTGTTCTGGATTCTGTTCCGCAACGATTTCCTACGACCTCCGCCACCGCCCGCCGAGCGCCATGCTGACAAAACCAGCTCAAATGGGAAGCCAGCTCTTGTGAACAGTTGCCCTCCTTTGTGTTTTGGTCCACTAAGTTCAAAAATCAATGACAACGAGCTCATTCTGTCATGACCCGATCTGATCACCTATCTGTTTTTCTTCAACTTCACAGGACTCTGCAGTAACCAGTTGCTCCATGGCATAACTATGGATTCTCTCTCTCTCTGGTGACGATGATCGATGACCTCTTTATCCTTATTTTTCTCCTTTTTCCTGCCTATGATGTACAGATGCTGGTGACGAATTTCCCGATGACTGTCTCTCACTCACTCCATCGTGTTTTAAAAGTGCTTTCTTCCTCTATGCGCAGATTTTCTTCTGGTATCAACAACGCCTTATTTATACACACACCGATTTGATTTTGACGATAACGGTCTTGTGATAAACACACTGCGTCCTACTCTTTCTCTTCCCGTCGTGTAATGTGCCAGTACTCGTTTCTTTTGGTCTTCCTGGCTCGGTTTCTAGGCACAACACAGTATAGCTTGACCTCACGGTTTCACTTTCCAACCGCTAACCAGTTCCCCTATAGTCCTCCGCATTTCCCCCTGTATTGATCATGTATCAACTATGCTTCATCATGACATGTGTGCTTTTTCTCATGTTTCACAAATATGCCAGCAATCTCCCTCCTTTATCCCCCTAACCATAGGGCGTATCTTCTCTTTGTCTATCCACTCGCTGCGGTTTTGGTGCTTTCGTGATGCTTTACTTGCCACGGTCGTTATTTTTCTTGTTCTCGCCACTTTTTTGTACAGCTTGATGGATAAACAAGACGGTCCAGTAACTCACAGCTGATTTCTTTTTCGTCTGCGTTTAACTTCAAGTATAGTGGTCTTTGGAGGGGGTAGATGACTTAAGTGGTTAGAACTCGAACTTATTGACCGGAAGGTGCGTGATTCGAACCCGACCCTGCCTCTCGACTTCCCCTGTCTAGGCTTGGGCGGTATCCCAGCCCTCATGCTTCCTTTGGGTGGCATGTCAACTAGCAACGGAAAGGGTGTTACAGCTGAACGATTTGTTTTATTTATTTATAGCGGTCTTGGGTAATTTGCTAGACCAGCATTGTGTCCTGCAAATGGGTATCTGGACAATTTGGACGTTCGACCCAAGTCATACTGACAGGCGTTAACTTTGAAGTCATTAGGCAGTGTGAAATTCAAGTGCATACATACAACGTTAGACTGTGTCCACAGCTGTTCGGTTGGTGGGAGACGAGAGGTTGCGAGCTCGCTCAGGCTGTTTATCTTTTCGTGCGCAACCTTTTCGCTTTAGTTGTAAGATCTCATCTCACGGCTTCCCGGGAATGTCACGTTGACTGTAACAATGAGGTTTTGATATGGAATAGTCTTTTTTGAGTTCATTAACAGCAACACCAGGTTAGGACACAACCATGTCAGTCTATCTGAATAGGCAGGAAGAAATGGGACAGTGAGGTGGAACTAGGGCTTGTTTACCTCAAAACCCGAGTTGCCTGCACCTTGAACACAGCCAGATAGAAACTTCCAGCATGAGCGCCACTGGCGTAGATTATCTGCCATGTCATTCAGTGTCTCCAATCAAGCACAGGGAAGGTCACGTGGACCCTATCCTCAACAGGTCTTTGAGTGATTCCAAACGGCTCCACGTTGTTATGACTTTTCTGACCAGTACTATGTGTTCCCCCGATCTGTTGACCGCATTCTTTCCCAATCAAGACGAGTCAGTGGACCGTCTGATGAGCTACCCGTTATCATTGGAAGTGTACCAGTCCAATACTGCTGTGTTCACTGAACTGCATGACTGGATTGAAATTTGATACCAACCGAAGGGAGTATACATTTCATTCGGTGACGAAACGTTTGCAATCAAGCTGCCCAGTTTAGGGAACAGAACGACAGTTTGGGGGATTAGGAGTCTTCTTTGCCGGCGACAGTCATGGTGAAAACTCCAGACTTGGTGAAATTAGCCTGAACTTCTGGTGTCGCAGTTTCCACATTTGCATTGTCAAACTGTCCGAGTTACACGTCTGGTTAGGTATGAATCGACATTATGACCCATTTGGAAGTGGACTCATTAAAATGTGCCACAACGCAATCATGCAGTATTCGCCCGCAGTCACTCCTTACAATGCTTGCGTGATGTCTTGGACCTACCAGTTACATTCGTCGGCAGATTGATCCATCCACGCTTATCAATGGTGTGGAATTGCCTAACCGAACCTATGCAGCGGTCGTTTCCCTCTCTCAGTCATCCTAGCCTTTGGTGACGAGAGTCTGCTCTGGGACAGGTTTCTCAAGCAACGCCCCTAACCGCCACGAAATACCTGGTGAAGATAGTCTTTCGTTACGTTGAATAACATGATCTTGACCCTTTCATCATATCGACTCAGACTGCTTATCCAACTCCAATTGGATTCTGCGTAACACACACCTTCAAGGTACCACACTTGTTTGTGCTTCCCGGACATTGATCACTATGAAAGAATTTAAGCAACCAACCTTTTCTTGTGTCAGATTTGCGTAGCGAAACTTGAAGATGGTCTCCAGTGGCTATTTACGACCTTAGATGAACATGATCTACACACATACCTTCAAAAAATTCGTGAAACATCAGAACGAGAGATTCAGCTGGGTGTCAGGTGAGTCTCTCGCAAAACCAAATTTGTTTGCAAATGAGCCTATTTCGCTTTCTACGTACAATTTGGGTTCAAGTAGGACATAAGTTTGACGGAATCTCGGGGACCGCACCTACCTGATGAGCCCAAGGAAGGGCGAAACCGGTCGTGGGCTGTCGAAGAATTATCAACAAACTTATGACTAGTGTATTGCGTCTATCTTGTGACTTCATTATTTTCCAACGATACCATAATCTTTTCATCGGTTACCTTTGTCATGCTCCATCAGGTGAGCAGATTCGCGTAACGTTGTTTTTAACGGCGTGTTTCTGTAGGAAGCTGCTCTTTTACAGTTGGATTTTCAGCCACACAATTGGGCTATCCTCGATCGATTCAGCTCTAAACTGCTTTGAGGTGTCCTCATCGATTAACGCAACAACTCGACCACGCTCCAGGTCCGAGAGATCCAGCTGGTGTTCAGGTTATTGTCCCTTAAAGACTAAATTGATATGCCAATGAATGTATTTAGCTGATTTCGTGTAATTTGGTTTGAGGGAGAACATGAGGTTGAGCGACCGAGCCTACCTGATCAGCCCCAAGAAGCAGGAAACCGTTCGTGGGCTCTCGAATGGTCTTCAGCAACCTTCTGAGTAGTGTGCTGCGTTCAGAGGTTGTTTCTGTTACTGGGCAGTAGGATAGGGATTTTCCAATCCTTTTGAGGCTTATTATTTAGCCCACCATTGTGTGTGGGGGGAGGCTTACTTCCCGTATCGGGATCACTGTTCTTGTAATTTTTTGCATAGTTTAGTGCAAGGAAACATTGCGACCATAGACGGTTTCACTAAACGGTAAAGTCGGATTACCAGTCTGAGATGTAATGTCCATGTGTGTTACGATTGCGTACAACTGGATCGGTTTGGATCAAGCCACATTTCCAAGTTAGGTCGAGAATGACTCTGTTCACGGACGATCGTTTGCCGGCTGTTACCTTTATGTGTCCACGCACAACAGTGGCGCCCTCAGTGACGCTCGTGCATCCAAGCTATTGCCTTCAAAGCATAACTCCCCTCCCAATCTTCTGTATTTACGCATCAATTCTACTAGCTACAGCTTCCAACGCGCAGCCATCTACCACATCTCCCCAAATCATGGGTGAACAAAACTGTGGCAGCTATGACCACTGTACCACAAGCACCCGGTTCTAACAGCTGATAATGATGATGATGATGATGGCAGCAGTAAACATTCTCCCCTTAACATGACTTTTGTCAGAAAGTGGAGGGTAGCATTAGGGATCCCTGTTGAGGTTCCCTATACGAATATTTGAACCACACTTAGGTTTGGCGATCTCGGATGTTGAAAGGAAGAATCGGGTCCAAATGTCCACGGAAATTACGACAGAACAAGTCAGGGTAAACCCCACAGACGGGGCACGAACACGCATGGGTGTCTTGCTGGATGGTAATGCAACTCTGTATCGGTTCCTTGGCTTTCTGCTCCGCCCACTATGGTATATTAAAAGGCACGGTAGCTCCACATAGCTCCTTATGGAAACGAAGGAAAATTATTACAACCGTTTATAGGGTAATCACAGTGTTCCACAAGGTCGTGCTAGAATCTCCGTGATGGGACGAGAAGCGTCGCGTTGATCCGGATTGGTTGGCATTCTGACCAATCAGGGCATGCCTTCGTTTGGTCCGTGTCCTGCACGTGTCCTGCAGCTGGCCCCCGGACAGCTGCGCGCATACTAGTAATGTCAAACTAGGTAGCCTCTGCGGTAAGGTGAACTTCGGGTATGGATGGGCAAAGAAAGTGGCGATCAAAAGTGCCTGGACGGAGTATGCAAATAAGTGAGAGAATCATCGTTACCTTTACTGGTCATCCACCTCCCATAGGGGTTTACTAAGGCCCAAAGCGTTTCAACCCTTTGTTACGTTTTAAGATCATTGAAAATGGAAAATTTGCCGTGTTTTCCTTAATTTCACATTGGTTTCCTCGTTAAATTGGTCTACCTCTTTGCAATTGGCTAAGTAAGTCTATCAATAAAGGAGTGAGCTTCGAGTCGGACGTACTGCTTACCTTACCTAGGGGCGGCCTTTGTTCAACGGATTCGGTTCAACCGTGTCACAAACGATATATTAGGTAACTTTCAGTTGCCTCTCCAGTCAAAATCAACTTAGTTTGCAAGTTAGTATGTGCCACGGGATCCTTTCGATACTGGATGTGACGCATTCGGTCTCTCCGGTTCACCCTTCTGACGCTCAATATTGGCGATTCCATGAGCGAAACTTGTGCGTACAAGTTGACGTTTTCCTCTTTGGAAATCCGTCAGGAAGTTTAAAACATTCGTTTCGCTTCATTGAAATATTCGCTTTGGTTTCATCTTTCCCCTCCAATGCTCTGGAAACATACAACAGGCGATCATATGTAGTCCGCGTGGTTAAAAGCAGGTTTTAGGTTCGTTTGTGCATGTGGGTACTTGGTGTGCAAACACGTCAGCTCAGCTTTTCACGTGGCCCGCGAGACTGTGTCATAAAGCATCCTGCAGCTGGAAAGCTGCGTCACCACTAACCTAAATTTCTGTTAGATCGAACGCAAATTTGCTGCGCGGATCCTGACGAAATGCCTCCTTTTTCCTATGTGGGAATTCTTTGGACTGTCCCCAAGTGAGAGGTGTCCGTTCATAGGAAGTATAAATGGATCAGCTCTGACAACTAAATTGCTTATGCCCTACGATCAAGTAGAGCTCGCCCCGGTGCCTAGCTCCCATGCCACCCGAAGGAAGCATGACGGTTGAGATACTGCCAGGTTGCCCAAGCCTAGACACGAGCACTCGAGAAATCGGGGTTTGGATTCGAACCACGATTCTTCCCGTTAGTTACTGACCGGATGGCCCATGGTTCGAACCCGACCTCTGCCTCTCGACTTCCCCTGTCTAGGCTTGGGCAACCTGGCAGTATCGTAGCCCTCGTGCTACCTTCGGATAGCTTCCTTCCTGTTAATGAAGTCACGCCCCAAAGACGAGCTAACTCGAGTCCGCCTAAAATGAAATGGCAACTGGTCATCTGCTCTATACTACTTTGATAGATTTGAACTATTTCACTCAGACGGTTCGAGTGTGATATGAGGGTTTTCTCGTCAAACTACCCGTGTACAGCATGAATCCTTTCTTGATCATGTGGGTTTGC